TGAAAAAGCACACACACACACACACACACACACACACCCGCGCGCGCGCGCGCACACACACACACACACACACACACACACCCGCCAGCCACTACCTAGCCTCTAGATTTCCACTTCTTTCTCTCCACTTCCCCGCCCGCCCCAACCCGCCACGCCCCGTGGGCGGTCCCAAGCGGCGGGCCCGCCCATCCCCTCCGGCTGCATAAGCCCCGCCCCGGTAGCGCGGAGACTTGAGGCGACCGGCTTCGGGCGGGGAGGGGGTGGGAGAGGGACGGGGGGAGGGGCGACAGGATGTGGAGTGGGGGCGGGACCAGCCCGAGGGCTGAGAGGGGCGGAGACGAGGAGAAGCTTCGGACTTTATCTTTGATTACCCTTGCCGGAGAGGCGGGAGATCTTGGCCCGGAGCCGGACAGAGAAACCCCGTCGCCGCCGCCGGAGATCTGGAGTCTCCCTACCGAGGCGAGTACGGGGCTTCACCGTAGCCCGCGGAAAATGGCGCCCTGGACGGTGTGGCGCTGCTGCCAGCGCGTGGTGGGATGGGTGCCGGTGCTCTTCATCTCCTTCGTGATCATCTGGTCCTACTACGCGTACGTGGTGGAGCTTTGCGCGTGTGAGTACCGGAGGGCGCGGGCGGAAGGCGGGGGCACGGGGCGTCGCCAGGACCCGGCTGCAGGCCGAGGCCGCGCGCCTGCTGCTTTGTTAGAGCCGCGGCGCCTGACGCTCGGGAGCCTGGATGCCCCGGGCCGCGGTGCGGCCCAGCTGGCCCGCGGCTTCCTGCTTCTAGCGTTCGCTCAGGGGCTGCCCATCCTTCTGTCTTCTATGACGGAATGTTCAGAAATGCGTTTTCTCCGAACGGGGCCAGTCGACCTTCGTAGGTTTAGGGGCGTGTGTGTGTGTGTGTGTGTGGCCCTTATTTTTGCTTTTGTTAATATTTTTAAAAACAAATTTATGCTTTCCAGGTTGTTTTTCCAAACAGCGCCAGACGCTTGTCACCTGTAAAGCCGGCTGCTGGGGTTGGGGGAAGGGAGGTGTGTCTTTTGGTGCTCTGACCTGGAGGATGAGTGAGCTCCAGCTTTTGATTTTGGGTGGTTCTTGACCCATTTTAAAGTTCATTTCTTTCAAGTCTGAATCCTGCGACCTATAAAATGAAGACAGAATGGGAGAATAACATTATTTATTTTTCCTTGGCTGTTTATTCTGACGTGCTTTTTTTCTTTTTTTTTTCCTTGCGGTATTGGGGACTGGGGATTGAACCCAAGGCCTCACACATGCTAGGCAAGTGCTCTGCCTCTAAGCTACATCCCAGCCCGGTGTATTTTTTTCACTGTCTTCAATTTGGGGGTCTTCTTTATTTTTGCCATCTTCCATTTTTAGCACCGATTTTCACCTGACTCCTAGGAAAAAGGATTGCAGCACACCTCAAGGATTTAACATACTGGTTTGAATAGGTTGCCTTTAAGAATAAAGAAAATCTGGACTTTTGCAGATTTCAGTCTTGTTTAAGTAAGGTAGCTTTCTCCAAAAAGGCAGCAGCAGAAGGTTCCTAAATACCTCGGACAGTAAAAATTGCTGACCCACAGTATGCTCTCAGTCATTTGAACAAATTGTTTATGATCAAAAGGGCTTCGTTCCAGTGCAGGCTCTGCTATTTCTTCATTTTGTTTATATACACACACACACACACACACACACAGACACGCACAGGCTCGCACAATATCAGCCTTATTAGGAGTTAATATTGAGGATAAAATAGATACACTTAACATGGCCATCTTAGGTGAGTGATAAACAGAAAAGATAAAATAATACTATTAGTTTTTGGTTTTAAATAAGACTGAAATACCTTGTTAGCTTTTCCCCCCAAAGCTTCTGTTTGAAAATATTTAGTTATGGGTGAACTGAACAACTTTTCCTCTCTGGTCAACCTGGTTAATGTTGAGGAAAGTGCTAATTCAGATTTCTAGAGTTTTTATCTGAATACTTGGGTCATTTTGAGCTGTTAAAAGTAGGTTTGTATCTCTTCTTTAGCATATAGAAGATCTTAGAGTTTATAGAGTTGGTCTAATTCATTATTTTCTAGGAAATTTATTACTCAGAAGACCTGTGTGGTTTGTCCAAGGGTAGACATTTTAATCTTTTTTTCAAATAGAAATATGTAGAGTGGGACTGTAACCTGAGTCTATATCCTTGTGTCTTCTTCACAACATCTTCAGATTTAGAGTGGTACACATAACAAGTGCCATTATTGAGTATCCTCTGTTCACATAGTTGATTCTGAAGTGTTATATTGATCTCCAAAGAACCAGCTTTTGTATTTTGTGAGACTTAAAGCCTTTAAAATGTATTCAAGTTTCTGTATACACTTGAGAAAGATATATTCTGTAATCAGCAGTGTATTTTACTGTTTGTTGCTGGGAATTCATTTATGTCATAATGCTTCATAAATATCATTGAGGCAAATTGGTAATGTTACTTAAATCTTTTCTATTTGTTATTTAAATTATTGACATAGGTATGATTATCATGTATTTATTTCTCCTTGTACTTTTATCAGTTTTTGCATCATGTATTTTTCAGCTCTGTAATAAGGTGTATAAAATAGTAAGAATTGTTAAGTCCTCTTGATGAGTTGGTCCCTTTATAATTGTGAAATGATTCTCTTATCCCTCACAATATTTGCCCTGAAATCTACTTTGGCAGATATTAACATGTCATTAACCTTTCTTTTGATTAGTGCTAGAATGGTATATCTTTCTGTGTCCTTTTATTGTTAGCCTGTTTATGCCTGTGTATTTAAAGTATGTTTCTTTTAAGCTGCATCTATTTGGGTCTTGCTTTTCTTTTTTTTCCTCCTTTTCATGTAATCTGAAAATCTCTGCCTTTCAATTCAGGTGTTTGACTACTTACATTTAATGTGATTATTAATATATTTAAATTTAAGACTGTGATTTGTTTGTTATTGTTGTTTATTTTTTTGTTTTTTGGTACCAGGGATTGAACTCAGGGGCACTCGACCACTGATTCACATTTCCAGTCCTATTTTGTATTTTATTTAGAGACAAGGTCTCACTAAGTTGCTTAATGTCTCAATTTTGCTGAGGCTAGCTTTGAATTCACCATCATCCTCCTGTGGCCTTCCGAGCCACTGGGATTACAGGTGTGTTCCACTGGGCTGGCTTGTCATTTATTTTTTTTTTAAATATTTATTTTTTAGTTGTAGGTGGACATAATATATCTATTTTATTTTTATGTGGTGCTGAGGATTAAACCTGGAGCTCCGCAAGTGCCAGGCAAGCGCTCTACCGCTGAGCCACAATCCTAGCCCAACTTGTTCTTTGTTCTCTTTCCCTTTTTTTCTCTTCTTTTGAATTAATCGAACTTATGTTTTCAAATTTTTTGATTATTTCACTTCCTTTGTTAGTTTATTATCTGTCGTTCTTTTTGTTATTTAAGTAGTCGCCTCATATTTATAGCATGACTTTAGCTTCAATAACTGAAAAAACTATATATTATATAGTCTACCTTCAAGTGATACACCTTTTCACAAACAGTACTTTATAAAAACACTTGTTTCTTCCTTCCTAATCTTTATGTTGTTGTCATGTATTTTGTGTAATAAACATCACATTATATTGCTTATTTTGTTTGAACAATTTTTGTGAAGATTTAAATAATGAAGATAAATACATGTACTCATCTAATTACCATTTCTAGTGCCTTTTATTTCTTTTTATAGATCATATTTCCATCTCTTGTTATCACTTCATGCCTAAAAGTGGTTTAGGTCAGCTGGAGATGAACAATTTCAGCTTTCATATATTTGTGAAATTTATTTTGGACTTTTTTTTAATATATATATTTTTTAGTTGTTGATGGACTTTATTTTATTCATTTATTTATATGTGGCGCTGAGAATCGAACCCAGTGCTTCCACATATGAGGCAAGAGCTCTACCACTGAGCTACAACCCCAGCCTCCTTTAGACTTTTTTGATTTTGTTGGAGTGACGAGGATTGCCCAGGGCCTTGCATATGCTAGGCAAGCACTCTACCACTGAACTATATTCCCAGCCTCCTGGGTTTTTTGGGGGGTTTGTTTGTAAAGTAACTTTAACAAGGTATAGTTCAAATTCCATTAAACTCACTCATTTAAAATGTACAATGTAATGCCTTTTAGTAAATTTATGAAGTTGTGTAGTAATCACAATAGTCCTTTTTTTGAACATTTCTATGACCTCAGTAAGATCCCTCGTGCCCATTTACAGTTACTCCGTCTTTCTTCCCCCAGCCTAAGGCAACCACTGTCTATGTTCGGGATCCATATGCCTTTTCGAGACATCTCATATAAATGGAATAATACAATAACTGGTCTTTTGGGTCTGTTTTGTGGTGTTTTTTTTGTTTTTTAGTTGTTGATAGAACTTTATTTTTATTACTTATTTATATGTGGTGTTGAGAATTGAACCTAGTGTCTCACACATCCTAGGCAAGTGTTCTACCACTGAGCTACAACCCCAGCTCCCTACTGAGCATGTTTTTGATGTTTATCTGTGTTATAGTATATCTCAGTGTTTTCCCCCTTATTTTCCACTTTGTGTTCTAATTTGTGTGTGTGTGTGTATTTTAGTTTTATTGATTTTATTTTTTTTAAATACATGACAGTGGAATGCATTACAATACTTATTTAACATATAGAATACAATTTTTCATATCTTTGAATATAGAGTATGTTCACACCAATTCATGCCTTTATACATGTACTTTGCTTTTTTTGGCTTTACAATTCTTATTACATACATATCACAAGTTTTCAAATTTGTTTATATATTTACACCCAATTCGAGTCTTCATACATGTTCTTTGGATAATGATGTCCTTCACATTCCACTGCCCTTGCTAATCCCCTTCTGCCTCCCTTTCTCTCCCATCCCTCTTCCCTATCTAGAATTCATCTAATCCTCCCATGCTCCCCCTCCCTACCCTACTATGAGTGAAAATATATCAGAGAAAACATTCGGCATTTGTGTTTTTTTGGATTGGCTAACTTCATTTAGCATTATCTTCTCCAACGCCATCCATTTACCTGCAAATGCCATGATTTTATTCTTTTTTAATGCTGAATAAAATTCCATTGTGTTTTTTGCCACATTTTTTTAAATCCATTTATCCACTGAAGGGCATCTAGGTTGGCTCCACAGTTTAGCTCTTGTGAATTGTGCTGCTATAAACATTGAAGTGGCTGTGTGTAGTATGTTGTTTTTAAGTCCTTTGGGTATAGTCTGTGGAGAGGGGATAGCTGGGTCAAATGGTGGTTCCATTCCCAGATTTCCAAGGAATCTCCATATTGCTTTCCATATTGGCTGTAACAATTTGCAGTCCCACCAGCAATGTGTGAGTGTACCTTTTCCCCCACATCCTCGCCAATACTTATTGTTGTTTGTCTTCATAATAGCTGCCATCTGACTTGAGTGAGATGATATCTTAAAGTAGTTTTGATTTGTGTAAATATATTTTTAAAGATATTTACAGTTTTACTTAGAAATATATTTCTAGTATACTTGCACAAATATATTTCTAGTATACTTACATTTATAAGTCAAATTAGAATATA